TCCTGGGGGAGCTGTATACTGCGCGTCATTGCGTATGGGTTGGTCTGCCAGCCATCCTGTGGTTTGGAAAGACTCCAGGGGCATGTTGTTTGACTTCGGACATCTGGAAAAGAGGTCTCTCAAAACCCTGGTTCTCTCTGGCACCAAGTTGGCTTTGCGGAAGAATTTTGAGGATATCAACTTCCATGGGAGTGTCTTATCTGGTGCCCCCCGCCTGGAGCCCATCATAGATGTCCTGAGGCAGCTTCGCTCCCGCGGTCAGGCGGCGAGCGCTGCATTTCTGGCAGGGTGCGTGTCGGGCGGCTTCCCGACGCAGAGCATCCTCTTCCGTGATCGCAGGGCGTCATGCCCCAAGTGCAAGTTTTGCGGCGACTTGGGAACGCCCAAGCACAGGATCGTTGGGTGCCCTGCGACCTGGTGGACCCGCCGAGAGTTAGACTTGCCTGAGGCCATCGAGGACTTCCAACAAGCTCCGTCTTACGACATCGGTACCGCCAGATGTTTGGTCCCCAGCCTGGCTTTCGAGGCCCCTCCCCCCCGTCAGGACCGGGCTCAGGTTTGGAGCGTTTTGCCTCCAAACGGTGTTTTCAATGGCAACGTTGCTATCGACGGCTCAGCCCTTTCCCCTGGTGATCTTGCGTTGGAGCGTGCTGGGTGGGGGATCGTCCAGGTCGACCGCCACGGGGGTTGGGACGGGGCCTTATACGGTCCCCTGCCCCACCCCATCCAGCAGTCGGGGTGTGCCGAAGTGTACGCCCTCCTCATGCTCCTCAGGAATGTGGGGGTGGAGCCTGTGCATGTCGTGTGTGATTGTAAGATGGTCGTTGACACCTGGGAGGCTGGTGCTGGCCAGACTCTTGATAATGTTGCGTACGCCGAGGTCTGGCGCGAGATTTTCCGCAGGTGTGAAGACCTAACCGCGCCTTTCACCGTCGAGAAAATTCGAAGCCACCAGTCTTGGGCCCAGGCGTCTGCTCAGGTCTGTGCTTGGTGGGCCTGGAGAGGCAACCGAGAAGCAGACCGACTGGCCAAGCTAGGAGCCAAGATGCACCCTGTCCCGCCGCAGCTGTTGCATGAGCTGAAGGCCCTCGACTTACAGGTTCGGGGCCGAGCCGTGCTGGTTGCGGGAGCCGGGGGAGCGCTATCTAAGCTGAATTTCAATGATGCTGATAAGTTCCGTGCGAAGCGGTACAAAGCACCTGAAGTGTTGGAACTCGTGTCCGAGCCCAACGGACACGAGATCGCCCGAGTAGGCAAGAGATCAGCTTGCGTGATTTGTGGAATTCGTGATTGGTCGAGAGGCGCCATTACGGCGTTTCCGTGTACTGGCCTCCCCAGAGCTGCTCGCTTGGCCCACCCCTCCCATCGACTTTGGAGTGGTGAAGGTGGCCGCATTTGGTGCAGTCTCTGTGGAGCGTTCGGCACTAAGAAGGTGGTCCTCCTCGCCAAGGCCTGCAACGGCGGGCCTCGGAACAAGGGTGCGGCTCAATCTCTCAGCCTCCTCAAAGGAGGGGTGGACCCATCTACAGGGGTGGAATTCGGCCGTTCGTTCCCCCTTAAGAGAGAGTGACCCTTTCCCTACGTGCCGTACGTGATTTATCCCAAGTTTTTGTGCCATGTGTTGCAGCAGCGGGACATGGTGCGCCAAGGACCTAGAGGACCTAGAGGAGGAGGAGGAGGAGGAGGAGGAAAAGGGGGAGGAGGAGGAGGAGGATGAGGAGGAGGAGGAGGAGAAGGAGGAGGAGGAGGAGGAGCATGGGTCGCCTAAGCCCTTCGGAGAAACCCTCAACCTCCTCCCCCTTCGGCTCCCCCTTCGGCTCCCCCTCTCGGCTCCCCCTTCGGCTCCCCCTCTCCCTGCTCCTCCTGCTCCTCCTTCCTGCCTCTCCTCCTTCCTTCCTCTCCTCTCCTCTTTCCTCTACTCCCTCCTTCCTCTACTTCCTTCCTCTCCTCCCTTCTCTTTCTTCCTTCCATCCTCTCCTCCCTGCTCCTCCTTCTTTCTTCCTCTCCTCCCCCCTGGGCAGTGCTGGGCCAACCCTGAGCTCCAGGCGTCGCACTTTTGCTCCGCACTGGGCGCTTTCGCCCACTCTTAGACCCTGGCATCTTGAGAAACGCAGCAGAAAGATGGGGTCGAATGCTCTGGCATCGATTCTGCAACATATTATGGTTAAGCTCCAGGCGTCGCACTTGTTCTCCGCACCGGGCGCTCTCGCCCACTCTCAGGCCCCCAGGGACCTTGAGAATCGCAGCAGAAGATGGGGTCGAATGCTCCTGATCTTGCAAAATGTCGTACTTCTTTCGCGGCGCCGGATCTCAGCCAAGGCCGCGCCAGCGGCGTGCTTGGTTAACGGTGCGGTTGGGGACCTGGCTTTTGTGGCACCGAACCCACGCAGAACAAAACGTAGGAAATCACGAAACACGCATGCGAAGGTGTCAAACGAAGCACGACACGGCGAGCTGCAGGCAAACCCGAGCCACGCGTTCCTACGATTTGGTTTGGCGACGGACCACGCCCTCCTACAAGTGTTTGTCCTACATCGCCGTCAGCCAACACACCCTTGGCGCGTCTGCGGCTCAGGGCAGGGAGGAGGAGGAGGAGGAGGAGGAGGAGGAGGAGGAGGAGGAGGAGGAGGAGGAGGAGGAGGAGGAGGAGGAGGAGGAGGAGGAGGAGGAGGCGGAGGAGGAGGAGGAGGAGGAGGCGAAAGAAGGGGAGGAGGAGGAGGAGAAGGAGGAGGAGGAGAAACGCGGAGGAGGAGGAGGAGGAGGAGGAGGTCTGGAGGAGGAGGAGGAGGAGGAGAACGAGGAGGCAGGAGGAGGAGGAGGAGGTGGAGGAGGAGGAGGCGGAGGAGGCGGCGGAGGAGGAGGGGGGGGGGGTGAGGAGGGTGGTACGCGGAGGGGCGGAGGGGTAGGAGGAGGAGGAGGAGGATGGAGGAGGAGGAGGAGGAGGAGGAGGTTAGGAGAGGAGGATGGAGGAGGAGGTGGAGGTAGGAGGAGGAGGGAGGAGGGAGGAGGAGGAGGGAGGCGGAGGAGGCGGGGAGGAGGAAGGTAGGAGGAGAGGAGGAGAGGCGGAGGTGGAGGAGGAGGGGCGAAGAACGAGGAGGAGGAGGCGGAGGAGCGGGAGGGAGGAGGAGGAGGAGCGGCGGAGGAGGAGGAGGAGGAGGAGTGCGGAGGAGGCGGGAGGAGATGAGGGAGGAGGGAGGAGGGGAGGAGGGGGGATGGAGGAGGGAGGAGGGCGGGGGAGGAGGGAGGAGGGAGGCTTTCCTCCCAATACAGGTGGGAGAGGTGAGGAGGGAGGAGGAGGAGGGAGGAGGGAGGAGGAGGAGGGAGGAGGGAGGAGGGGAGGGAGGAGGGAGGAGGGAGGATGGGGGGGGAGGAGGGAGGAAGGGAGGAGGGAGGGAGGAGGCGGAGGAGGGAGGGGGAGGAGGAGGAGGGCGGAGGCGGAGGGTGTTTTGTATGTACCCCCGCGCCCCCCCTCGACCGGACCACACCCCCCCCACTTTTGTTTTTTTTTTTGTTGAGTGGTTTCTTGGAGGTTGGATGAGGAGGCGGAGGGGAGGGAGGAGGAGGAGGAGGGAGGAGGAGGAGGAGGAGGAGGGAGAGGAGAGCTTGGCCGGGAGGTGGCGCCACTGCGTGCCCCTCTACGAACAACGAGTCCCTGCTTGGGATAGGCACCGCGCGCGGCGGCCAGCAGAAGGGCCCGGCCCGCCGGTCCTGGAACGCGCCGTGTTGGACCTCCAGTACGCGGAGGTGGACGGCTCCTGGTGGGTGGACGTGACGGTCCGCCACCCGGCGGCAGGCGACGAGACGGCGCTCCGGGCTGCGGCGCGACGGCCGGGAGAGGCTACGCGCAGGGCCGAGCGCGAGAAACACGAGAGGTACCCGGGCGAGCGGCTCACGGCTTTCGCCCTGGAGACCTCCGGCCGCTTGGGCGCTGAGGCGCGACAGTGGCTGCTGGCGCAGGTGCGCGAGCTCCCCGAGGACACGCAGCCCGGCGAGCTGGCGCGCGCCTACAAGTCGCTCAGCTGCGCGCTGCAGCGCCAGGTGGCGCGCCAGCTTCGGCGCGCCGCCGGGCTGCGCTGAGCGGGGAGGACTGCTGGGCCCGGGCAGGGGGCGGCGCCGGCGCTGGGCGTCGGCGCGGGGCTGCGGGGCGGGCAGCTGCTGACGCTGGGCTGACGGCGGCTGCTACTGCTGCCGCTGCTGCGCGCGGACTGCTGCGCGCAGGGGCCGAAGGCCGGGGACGCGCGCTCGCCGGACAGGGCGGCGCGCGGCGCGGGGTGGAGGCCGGAGCGGGCGGCTGACGGCGCTGCTGCCGGGCACTGCTGCGCTGCGGGCGGCGCCGGACGCGGGCGACCTGCGCTCGACGCCGGCTACATCTCGCTCTGGCTGCACGTCCTGGTCCCGGGTATGCCAAGGCTATAGGCCCCGGCTGGCGCAACCCCTCCCCGCCAGGGGCGGCCGCTGTTTGGACGCTGGGTCCTCGTGCTGGGCGTAAGGCGGCGGCTGCTCCTGGGGGGCCGGTGCGAAGCACTGGGGGGTTGCGCCGGCACCAATTCAAAGTGCGCTGGGACCGCGCGCCGCCGGGAGGAGGAGGAGGAGGAGGAGGAGGAGGAGGAGGAGGAGGAGGAGGAGGAGGAGGAGGAGGGGAGGAGGAGGAGGGGGAGGTGAGGGAGGGAGGAAGGGAGGGAAGGGGGGAGGGAGGGAGGGAGGGAGGGAGGGAGGGAGGAGGGAGGGAGGGAGGGAGGGAGGGAGGGAGGGAGGAGGGGAGGAGGAGGAGGGGAGAGGAGAGGAGGGAGGAGGAGGAGGGAGAGGGAGGAGGGAGGAGGAGGGGAGGCGGAGGAGGAGACGAGGAGGAGGAGGAGGAGGAGGAGGAGGAGGAGGAGGAGGAGGAGGAGGAGGAGAAACGAGGAGGAGGAGGAGGGAGGAGGGAGGAGGGAGGAGGAGGAGGAGGAGAGACGAGGAGGAGGGAGGAGCAGGGCGGGGCGCAGATCTCGAGGCGGCGTCTCCTCGTGGGCGCCGTCCACGGTGCGGGTGCGGACCTGGGCGGGCGGGGGGCAGGCGGGCCCCCGCGCCTCTGCCCGGCGGCGTGCCCCTCGGGCGGCCCTCCCCCGACGGGGAGGGCCGGGCGGCTCGCGGGAAGGGGTCCTACAGGGACTCCTCCTCCTCGTCGTTCTCCTCCTCCTCGTTCTCCTCCTACAGGGGTCCTCCCTCCTCCTCGTTCTCCTCCTCCTCCTCCTCCTCCTCCTCCTCCTCCTCCTCCACCTCCACCTCCTCCTCCTCCTCTTCCTCCTCCTCCTCCTCCTCCTCCTCCTCCTCCTCGGGTCGCCCGCGGCCCCAGGGATGCGGTGGACGTCCTGAGGATTCCCACAGGTTTCCCGAGGGAGCCCATGGATTTCCCAGAAGGGGCCTATGGATTCCCCAAGGGAATCTCATGGATTTCCTAAGGCATCCCATGGGTTTTCTGGAGGGACCCGATGGATTTCCTAAGGAACCCCATCGATTCCCGAAGGAAGCCGATGGATTTCGCGCGAGCATCGGAATCGCCAGCGCCAGATCTGATGACGACTTCTTACCCTGCGCGTTTTCTCTTCATGAGGAGCGTGGAAAAACTTCAGGGCACGAGCTGGAAGGACAGGAGTCACAGCAGTCAAAGTGAAGAACTGGCAGCCATCAATCGTGCGACCCTCCTACTACATCTGCATCCGTTCCCTAGCCCCCAAAGACAGATGGTATATACTTTGCCCCTGAATGGGCAAACTTCGAGACTTGAAGCAAACAATGGCCTCGCGAATTCCTTTCCCAGAGTGACAGTGCCGCGTCAGATCCTAGGGGGGCGGTATCAATCACCTGCGCTGGTAGGGATACTCTTGTACGGCGAGACGAAGACCAGACATCAGGACAGACATCCAGATATCCCGCAGCCTTGCATGTTCTGAAGCAGGCCAGTTGGGCAAGGATGCGCGCTGGTCACAGGCTGTTGGCAGAAGCATGCAGAGGGAAGGCGTCAACAGCGTGTTGAGGCTTGGCCTGCTGGCCGCCAGGGGAAGGGCAAACGAGTGCCTTTTGATTCTCGAGGCGGGACGGCGCCCGCGGGATGGGCGAAGGTACGAACGAAGGAAGAGTGGGCAATCAGCCCGAGTCAGGCAAGCCCTGGGATAAAGCGAGGACGCAAACCTCAAGACAGGTTCATCCCCCCCTCCTTCTCCTCCTCCTCCTCCTCCTTCTCCTCCTTCTCCTCCTTCTCCTCCTTCTCCTCCTCCTCATGCCCGTCCTGGCTGGGGAAAGGAGGCGGCCGCCTCTATTGGGAGAGGTACGGTGAGGGCATTGAATTAGGAACCGTTGGATTCTGAATCCAGAGTCTGGAAGCCGGTTGAACTCCAATCGTGGGTTGGCTATGAATCCGCCACCGTGCCTCTGCCATGAGGTGGAGTGGCCCTAGGCTCATGCAGTACTGAGAGGTGGAAGCTGTGTTGCTGCTGCTGCTGCTGCAGCGAAAGCCTTATCCCCAAGAGGCAAACATAATTGATTTCCCTTCGGATTTAATTTATGGGCACAATTGTGGCTTTCTGGCCTTTTTGATTTCCGACGCTCCAAGACGGCCCAAGAGGCCCCCGCACAGAGTACGCACAGCGAGGCCTCCAAGAGGGCCCCAAGACGGCCACGGCCCAAGAGGCGCCCAAGACAGCCCAAGGGGGCCCCAAGTCGGCCCCCAAAGGGGCCCCAGAGAACACGAACCGAAAATCCGAGACTTCTGCCCCAAGAGGCACCCAGGAGGCCCCAAGAGGCCCCGAAGAGGTCCCCCGAACGGCCCTCAAGGAGGCCTCAAACCTGCCTCCGAAAATCCAATAGGCTTCATTCTCATAGCCCAGGCACAGTGGCGGGATAAGCCGAAGGCGATGAGATCCGCCGCTCCCTGTCGATTCATCGCAGGGGTGCCTGGCGTGCCGAATTGTTACGGTTTTGGTTTTGTTTCTTTTTCCAAAAGAGCTCCCCCTGGTGCTTCGGCCCGTCCCGCCGGCCACCCGAGGATTGCCCGGCGTGCCAGGAGCTGGTTGCCACGGGTTTTTCCTGCTCCAGACGGCTCCAAGACGGCCCAAGATGGCCTCCAAGACGCCTCCGAGACGGCCGACATGGCCTCCAAGACTGCTCAGATGGCCCCAAGATGCCTCCAAGATGGCCCACGATGCCTCCAAGACGGCCTAAGATGGCCTCAAGATGGTTCAAGACGGCCCAAGAGGCCGCCAAGGGCCCCCCAAGACGCCTCCAAGAGGTCCTCCAGAAGGGCCCGAAGAGGCCCACATCAGTGATTGTCATCAAATGCTTGAAGGATTTTGGCATTTGCTTCTTTTCGGCCTTCCGACGGCTCAAGACGGCCCAAGAGGCCCCCAAGATCGCCACAAGATCGCCCACGAGGCCTCGAAGATGGCCCCATGACGGCCCAAGAGGCCCCCAAGACGGCCCCAAGAGGGCCCCAAGACGGCCCAAGAGGCCTCCAAGACGCCCAAGATGGCCTCCAAGACGGCTAAGATGACTCCAAGATGCCTCCAACACGGCCCATGATGCACCCTAGACGGCCTGAGATGGCCTCCAGATGGCCGAAGACGGCCCAAGAGGCCCCCACGACGCCTCCAAGACGGCCCAGGAGGCCTTTAAGACGTCCTCCAGGAGGGCCCGAAGAGGCCAAAATCATTGATTTTCCCTGTGTGTTTGAAGGATTTCGGCATTTGCTTCTTCTCGGCATTCCGATGGCTCAAGACGGCGCAAGAGGCCCCAAAGATCGCCGAAGAGGCCTCCAAGATGGCCCCTATGACGGCCCAAAAGGCCCCCAAGACGGCCCCAAGAGGGCCCCCCTACACGGCCCAAGAGGCCTCCAAGACGCCCAAGATGGCCTCTAACAACCCCTGATATGCCCAAAAGGGGTCCCAAGACGACCCAGACAGGCCCCCAAGACGGCTTCCGACGGCGTCAGACAAGCCAGGAACGCCCTAAGACGGCCAAAGAGGCCCCCAAAAGAAGCCCGCACAGGTCCACAAAAACCCTCCAAGAGGCCCCCAGGAAGCTCCCAGGAGGCACCAAGAGTGCCCCAAGAGGCGCCCAAGAGGCCTCCTCCTCCTCCTCCTCCTCCTCCTCCTCATTTTTCGTCATCTTCCCCCTCCTCCTCTTCTTGCTCCCCCATGCGTTCCCCGAAGTCTTTCCAAACCGACTCGGGGAACAACTGGCACGATAGCTTGGCCAAGCTCCGGCCCAGCTGTCAGCCACAGAGGCGCTTCCAAAGGGGCAGGGGGCGGCGGTGATTCGCCGTAGGCGTCTCTTCGATATCGCCGCCGCCCTCATGAGATGCAGTAGGAGCTCGACCACAAGAAACTTCCCACCAGAAGCCCAACCCTGAGACCCCAGGACGTCCATCGATCTGTGGTGTGGGGGCGCCACGCTCTCAATCGCAGGACCACCGAAGCCCAGGAGACCCAGGGGCACCCTGGGGGCGAGCAGGGTGCTTCTCGGCCCGGGCTTCCGCCGCAAAAGGACCCTCCGGGGCCCCTGAGCCCTCCCGAGCCTACTCCGTCACGACCGCCGCCGCCGCCGCCCGCACGCGGAGGGGAGGCGGGGAGGCCGGGGCACACCACCCCGGAGCGGGCGCCGAGGGAGCGCACCGCGCCCCCCCCCCCCGCGACCTCAGACACCCGACGGCATGCTGCGGCTCCAGTCCGAGCCCGCGGCCCCAGGCCTCACGAACCCCTTCCCAGGGGTGGTCTTTCGTCCTGGTCCACGCCCTCCTCCTCCTCCTCCTCCTCCTCCTCCTCCTCACTCTTCTCTCTTCTCCTCCTCCTCCTCGTCCTCCTCCTCCTCCTCATCCCCTCCTCACTTCTTCCCCCTGCGTCTTGCGCCCCCCTTTCTTCCTTCTCTCCCTCCCCTCCTCCTCTCCTCCTCCTCCTCCTCCTCCTCTCCTCCTCTCCTCCCTCCCTCCTCCTCCTCCTCCTCCTTCCTCCTCCCTCCTCCTCCTCCTCCCTCCCCCCTCCTCCCTCCTCCCCCTCCCCGTGGACATCCCACGATTCTGCTCGCCCAGCCCGCGGGCACCACCGCCGGCGCCGGCGGCGCTGGCGACCAGGACGACCGCCGCGCGGAGGGGCGGCGGGGCGGGGCCGCCTGCGACCGCGCCCTGCCCGCCACCTGCCGGCCACGCGCGGGAGTGCAGTCACGGCATTGCCAGAAGTTTTTTTTTTTTTTTTTTTTTTTTTTTTTTTTTTTTTTTTTTTTTTTTTTTTTTTTTTTTTTTTTTTTTTTTTTTTTTTTTTTTTTTTAAAAAAAAAAATTATGTAAGAATCGTAGTATTATTGATAATAATATTAACAACAATAATAATTATACTAACAATAATAATAATAGTAGTATTATTAATAATAATAATAACATTTTGTTGAAGCTATCTATCTATCTATATATATATATGTGAAAAAACAAAAACACCGTGGGCACGACCGCGGTGCCAAGGGCAGCACTGAGCTGCCGTGGACTGCCCAGGTGGTGCAGCTTCTAGGAGCGAAACAACCAGGAAGCATGCACCACGAAAGGCCTTGCCTTCGAGGGCCGAAGGCGTTGTCAGCTCTTCCTCGGCGGAGGGCGGCGAAGGGCGGCAGGTCGGCGGAAGCAGCACGAGGCCGCCTCCGCCGGCGGAAGCCGGCGGCAGTAACAGATGGGCCCCCCAAGAGATGAGAGCCATTTTGGGTTCAGGGTTTCCGAAATCGCCCGAATCAGGAACGACAGGTTTTTCCTGTCGCGGCGGGCCATGGCCACAGGAGGAGGCGGAGGAGGAGGAGGAGGAGGAGGAGGAGGAGGAGGAGGAGGAGGAGGAGGAGGAGGAGGAGAGGAGCAGGAGGAGGAGGAGGAGGAGGAGGAGGAGGAGGAGGAAAAGGAGGAGGAGGACCAGGAGGAGCGGAGGAGGATGAGGAGAAGAGGAAGCAGGAGGAGGAGGAGGAGGAGGAGTAGGAGGAGGAGGAGGAGGAGGAGGAGGAGGAGGAGGAGGAGGAGGAGGAGGAGGGAGGAGGAGGAGGGAGGAGAGGTAGGGGAGGAGGAGGAGGAGGAAGGAGGCGGAGGAGGAGGAGGAGGAGGAGGGAGGGAGGAGTAGAGAGGAGCGAGGGAGGAGGAGGACGCAGGGGGAGGAGCGGAGGAGGAGAAGGGCAGGTCCCCGACCAGAGATCCAGGGAGGCGCCGAGAACCCGAGCGCCGCCCGAGCCCTGAGCGGGTCCTTCTCCGGGCTGCCCCTCGGCGGCAGGGGACCACGGGGGGGGGGGGGGGGGAGGGGGGGGGGGGGCAAGGGCTGGCACCAGGGGCTCGGCTTCCGCCCCATCTCGTCCGCTTGTCCTGTCGCCCGAGTCTTACCTCGTCCGTCCGCATTTCCTTTCGTCCGCATCTCCTTGCTTCCGCACGTCTCGTCGTCTAAGCTTCGTTTCGCTCGCTTCGACTTCTCCCGCTCTGGCTCGTGCGCCTCGACGCGTCCGCCTCGATGCGTCCCCGCTGCGGCTCGTCCGCTTCGGGGCTCCTGCGGGCCTCGAAAGGATCGAGGCAGCAGCTTAGGAGAGGAGGAGGCGGAGGAGGAGGAGGAGGAGAGGGGAGGAGCGAGGAGGAGGAGGAGGAGGAGGAGGAGGGAGGAGGAGGAGGAGGAGGAGGAGGAGGAGGAGGAGGAGGCGGAGGAGGAGGAGGAGGAGGAGGAGGAGGGAGGAGGAGGAGGAGGCGGAGGAGGAGGAGGAGGAGGGAGGAGAGAGAGGGCGGAGGAGGGAGGAGGAGGAGAAGGAGGAGAAGGAGGAGGAGTGAGGAGGAGGAGGAGGAGGAGGAGGAAGAGCGGACCGCAATGAAGACTGCCCACCCGCGGCGCGCGCGGGGCCCCAGCTCGCGAACGAGCTCCAGGGCTCCCCCCCCTACTCCCCCTCGCTCCGCCTCCTCCCTCCTTCCTCTACTCCCTCCCGCCAACTCTTCCTCGTCCTCCCCCTATCCAACCCCTCCTCCTCCTCCTACCTCCCTTTCCTCCTCCTCCTCCTCCTCCTCCTCCGCCGCTTCGTTTTTTCTGTTCTCAGCCTGGGGCGAACGTCGGGGCCCGAAGCTCAGGTCGGGCATGTCCTCCTACAGGCGGACTCAAAAAACAAAGGAAACACAGTCAAACATATTCCCAAATAGGCACGAGCAACAAATAAACATAGGCAAACCATGCTCAGCAATAGTATTTCGACATCGGCAAATGCATACACATCAGTCTTTTAACACAGAGTATTCAAACATAGGCACAGCATTTAAACATAGTACTCAACACATTCAACATAGGCAGATCAACACAGGCAGAACATAGGCAAACACTGTTCCTGGACCATTTTTCTACTCTTCTGGGCATTTCCCCCTGCAGAGGGGCAGAGCCCGAGCGAACCTAAGAAGCACCAGGGGCATCGCAGAGGAGGGCCCCCCCCGGGACCCCCCTTCCCTCCGAGACTTCCTCGGTCCTCGCGGGCCGTGCCCATGGCCACGGGGGGGCCCGTCGGAACCGGACCGGGGCACGAAAACGCCGCCTCCGGGGAAGCGGTCGAGACCTCTCTCGGGGGCGCGCAAGCACGGATTAGCGATCCATGGATTTTTGGCGCGCGGTCGCCAAATCCATGGGTCGGGGGAGGTGCCCTCCCCAAAGTGCGGCCGGTGCCGCCTCGCTCGGCGGCGGAGATCCGCGACGTCCCATGGAGGCGGGGCCCGTCGCCAATCCACACCCCCTGAATCTGTGTTTGCGATCGCCTGACGCTGGGGTCGCGGATGGAACACCATCACATCGGGGGGTGTCTGGGGCCTGTGTGACTTCCTTGGGTTTGGCCCTTTTGGCCCTCTTGTGCCCCCCAGATAGGAGCAAGGAAAGGCGACACCAGCACCACCAGGGCGGGGAGATGCGAGGAGCAGTGGGGGTCTTTCCTGATGGTGTTGTCCCCGCTTCTCGCTCGAGACATCCCCAGCCCCCAGCTCGGGGAGGCATCGTGGGCCTCCTCGCTGGAGGTGGCCCCCCTGTTGGTGTTGGTGTCGCTTCTCCTCCCTCCGACCCAGAGTCGGGGGCGGGCGCAACTCCATTCAGCAAAGCTTGGGGTGTCCCGAAAGGGTGCGGTACTGCACCGTGGGGTGACCTCGGACTCCCCAGTGGCCTCACCGCGCAAGGTCCGTCAGCAAATGGTTCTGAGGCCCTGGAGGCCCCAATCGCCCGAGGCATCCTTTGAGAACGACTCAAAGCCCAAAACCGTGCGGTCACACCGAACCCCCACTGACTAACCACACGGTTTGGTCACCCCGAAAACACCCTTTTCGACAGGGTGCAGTTGCTGGAACGCATCCCGAGGCAGGACAGCCTCCAGGAATCGACGAAGACCCTGAGATGCGACGCTGCGAACAAGTTGCAACACCACAGAAAGCACGACCAGAGCCTCAGAGCCCATGCTTCCGAAACGCTTTTCGAGCCGGCTCGATCTGCGAGGGCCCCAGGGCCCGGGGATAGGGCGAAACCGCCAGGTGCGAAACCATTGCGACGCCAGGACCTCTGGGGGACAGTCCAGAAACGTGCTGCGAAGGTGCACCCCCGAAATACCGCGCCCCAAAGTCGGGTCGGGCGAAAGGGGGGGATAGCAAAAGGGGGGTTTGAGAATCAGCTCGCGTAGCTGATTTTCCTGGCGCCTCCCGCCGCCAGAGGCGGCTATGTATCGAGGAATAGGCCCCTCGGTGAGGCCGAAACCAGCTACATGCAGCAAATTTCATACCCCCCCCTTTCCCAATCCCACCCTTTCGTCCGGCCCGACAAGGGCCACTGCGGCGAAGGGCCACTCTTCCCAGACCCCCAAAATCATGATTTTTTCATGGCGTCGACCCTCAGAACTCTCGACCCCTTCCCCGGCGCCGGCATTTCATCCTGAGTCGTGTTCTGATGGTCCCGAAGCCCAGTGAGGGTCCCCAGAGGCCGAACATAGCGAGAAACCCTTCGTCGTGGTCGTGTATGTTTCACGACTCGAAGGTGTCTGGGTTTTGCGTGTGGCCGCCACCTCGCAGGTGCAGTAGAGGTCCCGGCCCTCCGCGCAAGACCGGGGCACGAGGTCCTGGCGCCGGGCGGGGGCTCGAGGAGGCAGGGGGCAGAGGGAAGAGGCAGGAGGCAGGAGGAGGGAGGGAGGCATGATAATGATGATGATGATGATGATGATGATGATGATGATGATGATGATGATGATGATGATGATGATGAGGAGGAGGAGGAGGAGGAGGAGGAGGAGGACGAGGAGGAGGAGGAGGGGTATCAGCGTAAACCCGAGAAACACCAACGCTGTTGCAATACACCCTCCCTTCAAGTTCCCTCTCATAGGCCCCTGCAAAAAGTTGTTTCCATTACGGGAAATGCCTGATTGAAACTCAACAGTCTGAGAATCTTGAACCGTGCCAAACACACAATTCCTGGAATTTCAGCGTCGCGGATCAACGTGACTGTTGCGTCCTGATGTTCTTAAATCGTACCAGAAGACCATTCCTGGGATCTCAACACCGCGAATCAACGTGACTGTCGCGTTCTAGCAATCCTAAGTCTTGCTAGAACGCGACTCCTGGGACTTCGACCATGCGAGTCCTTGAAACTGTTGCAACCTTTCAAAACGCATGCGCGCGGCGCTAAAGCGAGAATCGCATCTTGAAACGAACCACACTTCACTCTTGAAAATGTTTCAAACTGTTGAAACGAATGTACGCGGTACTCAAACGATACCTCATCTTTAAAGCCATCCGACCTCCATCTGTGAAGCTCTTGTAATCTGTAAAAATGAATGTTCGGGAAGCTAAGGCGAGAACCACATTATGAAAACGGCCCGCCATCCATCCGTGAATTTGTTGTAAATCCCACCAGCCCTCTGGGCGTAGGTGGTCTAGAGCAGATCCTCTTCCACCCCTCCCTCTTCCCCCTTGGGGAGGGGTTTACCCCTCCCCCTACCCCCGCCCCTGGACCTGGACGGGGGGGGCCGCTGGTAGTTAGAGCGTCCCAGATGGCCCAAGACGGCTCCAAGAGCGCCTCAGAGAACCCAAGATGAGCTCCAAGATGGCTCAAGATAGCGCAAGATCGCTCGAGATGCTCCTAAGATGGTTCCAAGAAGCCCAAAGACGGCCCCAAGATAACTCCAAGTGGCCAAACAGCTCCCCAAGGAGGCCCCGAAGAGGCCAAAATCGTCCCAAAACCTAAGGAAAATCAATGATTTTTGCTTTCTCGCCTTTTCGCTTCCGATGGCCATCCGAGGCCTGGAGATGGATCCAAGATGGCCCAAGAGGGCCCCAAGAGAGCCCCAAAAGAGCCCCAAGACGGCCCCAAGAGCGCCCAAGAGCACTCCAAGAGCGTTCCAAGAGGGGTCCAAGAGGCGATTTTAGGGGCTTCCGAGGGGGGGCGCTAATTAACCCCCCCCTCTTGTTTGATCGATCTCCTCCAAGATGGCCCCAAGAAGCGCCCAGGAAGCCCCAAGAGGTCCCAAGATGGCCCCAAAATGGCCCCAAGAGGCCCCCAAGAGGCCCCACGGAGGCCCCCAAGAGACCCCCAAGAGGCCCCAAGAGCCCCCCCAGATGCACCCAAGATGCTCCAAGAGGCCTCGGCGAGAATGCCTAATCATTGATTATACACAGTTTTTAGCCACATGGAGGCCTCTTGGGGGGGGGCACGGATTAAGATGACTCCAAGAGCGTCTGGGAGAGCCCAAAATGACCTCCAAGATGGCTCAAGATATCCCAAGATGTCTCATAATGGCTTCCTCTGTGTGCTGCCCACTTCTCTGATCGAGGCAATTCCTCTGGGCATCGTTTCTGGATGGGCTGGTGGGGATTCGCGAAGCGACAACAATTTCAAACTTCAAAATCATGAACGGTGAGAGAGTCTATGGCGAAACGCCCGGCCCGCCCTACCGACACGTCTGGGGGTGCGACAAGGAGTTCTTAATGTGGAATATGATGGAGGAAGAGGAGGTGGCATGAGGAGGAGGAGGAGAAGAACGAGGAGGAGAGGGAGGAGGAGCAGCAGGAGGAGGAGGAGGTGGCGGGACGCGGCAAGAGGTGGCAGGAGGTGGCAGGAAGAGGAGGAGGGGGAAGAGGAGGAGGAGGCAGAGGAGAAGGAGGAGAAGAACGAGGAGGAGAGGGAGGAGGAGCAGCAGCAGGAGGAGGAGGAGGAGGTGGCAGGATGTGGAGGTGGAGGTGGACGCGGAGGAGCAGGAGGAGCAGGAGTAGGAGAAGGAGTAGAGGTAGGAGTGGTAGTATGAGTGGTGGTAGTAGTAGTAGTAGTAGTAGTAGTAGTAGTAGTAGTAGTAGTAGTAGTAGTAGTAGTAGTAGTAGTAGTAGTATAGTAAAAGTAGTCGTAGTAGTAGTAGTAGTAGGTAGTATGTAGTTAGTAGTAGTAGTAGTAGTATAGTAGTAGTAGTAACAAGTAGAGTGTAGTAGTAGTAGTAGTAGTTAGTAGTATAGTAGTAGTAGTAGTTGTAGAGTTTAATAGTAGTAGTAGTAGTAGTAGTCGTAGTAGTAGTAGTAGTAGTTAGTTAGTGAGTGTAGTAGTAGTAGTAGTAGTAGTAGTAGTAGTAGTAGTAGAGTATTAGTAGTAGCTAGTAGTAGTCGTAAGTAGTGGTGTAGTAGTTAGGTAGTAGAGTACAGAAATAGTAGTAAGTAGTAGTAGTAGATAGTATAGTAGTAGTCGGTAGTCGTAGTAGTTTAGTAGTAAGTATTAGTAGTAGTTAATAGTAGTGAGAGTAGCAATAGTAGCAATTAGTAGTCGTAGTAGTACTAGTAGTAGAAGAAATAGTAGTAGTCGTAGTCGTAGTCGTAGTCGTAGTAGTAGTAGTAGTAGTACTAGTAGTAGTAGTAGTAGTAGTAGTAGTAGTAGTAGTAGTAGTAGTAGTAGTAGTAGTAGTAGTGGTAGTCGTAGTAGTAATATTAGTCGTGGTAGTAGTCGTAGTAATTGTAGTTGTAGTAATAGTCGTCGTCGTAGTAGTAGCCGCAGTAGTAGCAGTAGTAGTGGTAGTAGTAGTAGTAGTAGTAGCAGCAGCAGCAGTAGTAGTAGTAGTAGTAGTAGTAGTAGTAGTAGTGGTAGAAGTAGTAGCAGTAGTTATAGTAGCAGACGTCGTAGTAGTTGTCGTCGTAATAGTCGTAGTCGTAGTCGTGGTAGTAGTACTGATAGTAGTAGTAGTAGTAGTAGTAGTAGTAGTCGTAGTAGTAGTAGTAGTCGTCGCAGTAGCAGTAGCAGTAGCAGTAGTAGTAGTAGTAGTAGTAGTAGTAGTAGTAGTAGTATTAGTTGTTGTTGTCGTCGTCGTTGTAGTAGTAGTAGTCGTCGTAGTAGTAGTAGTAGTAGTAGTCGTAGTAATAGTAGTAGTAGTAGTAGTAGTAGTAGTAGTAGTAGTAGTAGTAGTAGTAGTAGTAGTAGTTGTTGTTGTTGTAGTAGTAGTAGGAATTTTTTTTTCCCACAGTAGTAGTAAATAGTAGTCGTAGCTAGGAGTAGTAGTAGTAGTAGTAGTAGTATGTGTAGTAGTTAGTAATGGCGTAGAAGTAGTAGTATAGTAGTAGTATGAGTGTAGTAGTATAGTAATAGTAGTAGTAGTAGTAGTAGCAAATAGTACTAGTAATTAGTAGTCCGCAGTCGGAATAGTAGTAGTAGATAGTATAGTTATAGTAGTGTAACAAGTGGTAGTTAGTAGAGTTGGTAAGTCGTAGTCGTAGTAGTGAGTAGATAGTAGTAGAGTAGTCGTCAAGTCGTAGTCGTTAGTAAGGAGAGTAAGTAGTATAGTGAGTAGTAGTAGTAGTGGTAGTAGTAGTGAGTAGTAGTAGCAGTAGTAGTAGTAGTAATAGTAGTAGTCGTCGTCGTAAAAGTAGTACTAGTCGTAGTAGTTGTAGTTGTCGTAGCAGAGGTTGTCTTAGTAGTAGTAGTCATAGTAGCAGTAATAGTAGTAGTGGTAGTAGTAGCAGTAGTAGTAGTAGTAGTAGTCGTACTAAGTGTAGTAGTAGTAAGAATCTTCGTAGGAGTCGTAGTAGTCGTAGTCGTACTCGTAGTCGTAGTAGTAGTGGTAGTAGTAGTAGTAATAGTAGTAGTAGTCGTGGTAGTAGTAGTAGTAGTAGTAGTAGTAGTCGTCGTAGTAGTAGTAGTCGTAGTAGTAGTAGTAGTAGTAGTCGTAGTAGTAGTAGTAGTAGTAGTCATCGTAGTAGTAGTAGTAGTCGTCGTAGTAGTGGTAGTAGTAGTAGTAGTAGCAGCAGTAGTAGCAGTACTAGTAGTCGTAATAGTACTAGTAATAATAGTAGTAGTCGTCGTCGTAGTAGTAAGCGTAGCAGCAGAAGTAGTAGTAGTAGTAGTAGTAGTAGTAGTAGTAACAATCTAGATACCAGTCTTAATAGTATTTGTAGTAGTAGTCGTATTCGTAGTCGTAGTCATAGTAGTAGTCGTAGTCGTAGTCGTAGTAGTAGTTGTAGTAGTAGTCGTCGTAGTAGTAGTAGTAGTAATAATGCTAGTAGTAGTGGTAGCAATAGTGGTGGTAGTAGTGAGAGTAGCAGTAGTAGTAGTAGTAGTAGTAGTAGTAGTAGTAGTAGTAGTAGTAGTAGTAGTAGTATTAGTAGTAGTAGTAGTATTAGTAGTAGTAGTAGTAGTAGTAGCAGTAGTAGTAGTAGTAGTAGTAGTAGTAGTAGTAGTAGACGTAGTCGTAGTAGTAGTGGTAGTCGTAGTTCGTAGTCGTAGTAGTTAGTAGTAGTAGTCAGTGTAGGAGTAGTAGTAGTAGTAAGTAGTTACAAAAAGTAGTAGCAGACGTAGTAGTAGTAGTAGTAGTAGTAGTAGTAGTAGTAGTAGTAATTCAGCCGTCGTAGTCGTCGTATTAGTGGTCGGTAGTAGTAGTAGTAGTAGTAGTAGTAGTAGTCGTAGTATTAGTAGTAGTAGTAATAGTAGTAGTAGTAGTAGTAGTATTAGTCGTAGTCGTAGTAGTAGTAGTTGTAGTCGTAGTAGTACTACTAGTAGTAGTAGTAGTAGTCGTATAGTAGTAGTAGTAGTAGTATTAGTAGTAGTAGTAGTCGTAGTAGTAGTAGTAGTAGTAGTAGTAGTAGTAGTAGTAGTAGT